AGGGCTCCTGTGTCCCAGGGTCCTGGACGAGGTGCTCTGCCCGGTAGGGAGCACTTTTCTTTTTTAAAAATATAGATTTTTATTGATTTCAGAGGAAGGGAGAGGGAGAGAGAGAGAAACATCAATGATGAGAATTACTGATCAGCTGCCTCCTGCACTCCCCGCACTGGGGATCGAGCTCACAACCCAGGCGGGTGCCCTTGACTGCAGTGGAACCTGGGACCCTTCAGTCTGCAGACCGAGGCTCTACCCACTGAGCCAAACCGCTCAGGGCTGGGGCCAAAGTTAAATGCCTTGGAACGTGCATAGCTATCTTCTATCTTGTAATATAAGTGTGTGTGTGTGTGTGTGTGTGTATGGGTGTATTTTATTGATTCCAGGGAGGAAGGGAGTGGGAAAAAGAGATAGAAACATCCATGATGAGAGAGAATCATGCATCAGCTGCCTCCTGCAGGCCCCACACTGAGGATCGAGCCTGCCACGCGGGCACGTGCCCTGACCGGGAATCAAACAGTGACATCCTGGTTCATAGGTCGGTGCTCAACCACTGCGCCACCCCGGCCAGGCAAAATTTCTAGAGTTTTAATTGATGACTGAATAACTCCAGAGAGAAACGTAGGCGTAAAATGCCATGTTGCATAATGTAAACTACCCAACATGTGATGGGGTAAGCAAATTCCAAGACCATTTGCCAAGGGAGAGTTTATTTTTTTATTTTTTTAATACATAAACTGTTGCCTTACAAGGTGTATGCCTTCCCAAGGAACAGCGTGTCTTCGGAGGGGACACAATTCGCATGCTCATTATTCTAATATGAACAGTGATGACACGAAGGAACACTGTGGACGGCCTCGGGCAAAGGGACCCTGAGCAACACAGACCATTTGGGGTGGATGACGGCACTGGTGCCTTTTCTGACAAGGAGAGTCCTGAAACGCACGTCTTTCCTGTCGGGGTGTCTTGGGGAAGTGACCCATGTTTCTATCGGCCATGTTTTGCCAGCATCCAGCCGGATAAGAAATGTGGGCGTCAAGGTCCACACTCCGTCGCACCCCCGGAGTGTGCCCAAGAGCGGCCCACGGGGGAGTGTTCTCCAGACATGGGTGACGGGTCAGGTTCCCCTCGGTCTTCGAAGGAGGTGTCCCTGTTAATTCCACCCCATCACAACGTGGACCACCAGCAGGTAGCACATCGCCACCATGCAGGAGACCACCATCATGGGGAAGCCCAACCTGAAACACAAAGACAGGTGCATTGTGGGACCTGCCGTCTGGTGAGAGCTGCGAGGACCAGGAGGTCGCTGGTTCCATGCCCAGTCAGGGCACATACCCGGGTTGCGGGCTCCATCCCCAGTAGGGGGAGGGCAGGAGGCAGCTATCTATGTGTCTCTCTCATGAACGTCTCTCTCTCTCCCTCTCTCCCTCCCTCCCCCTTCCTCTCTCTCAAAAATAAAATTAAAAATAAATAAAAAAAAATAGCAGCCTGGCCAGAGATGGCTTATTTGGTTAGAGCATTTTCCTGATACACCGAGGTTGCAGGTCCGATCCCCCATCAGGGCACATATAAGAAGCAACCAATGAAAGTGAAACAACGAATTTATGTCTCTCTCACACCCTTCCTTTCTCTAAAATCAACTTAAAAAAACACACAACAAAACCCACATCCTGGGGTGAGATTTAAAAATAGAATAGAGAGACTATGGCAGAAATGAATGTGAAACAACTATCGAGGGCTTTGCTCATTCAGTCTTTTAAAAGAAAGAAAAGAGTCATTTTCAAACCCACAGACACCCAGAAAATGTTAAAAGAATGGCGAAGCTTCACCCTCTACCTCTGTCTACGGAAAAGGGTTTGCACAGCCCAACATGGCTGTGCTGCTCAGAGGCTGTAGAGTTTAACCCACGCCACACACTCGACAGTTCATCACACAAGGAAGGAAAAATGAGCCCTCCCTCAAATACCCTCTATTCCTTGCACTTAAAGGGTCATCTTGAAACTTAAAGGGGGACGGTTGCTTGGTTGGAGTGGGTGCAAGAACGGCCCAATTCCCTGGCCCAATTCCCTGTGGACGGAAATAGAATCGTCTCTTAGGGGGTGAGATCAGAAAGGACTTGACCGCAGCACTTTCACATGCAAAGTCCTTTCTTCTTTCCCTTCCTTCCCCTGCGGTTTTATTTCCTGGGGCCCCCCCCCGACAAAAACAGAACCCTAAGATGCTAGCGCCAGAAAGCACTTATTATCTTTTAATCCTCACCCGAGGATATTTTTTCCACCGACTTTTAGAGAGAGCAGAAGGGAGAGGGAAAGACAGAGAGAAACATGGATGTGAGAGAAACACATCGATGGGTTGCCTCCTGCACAGGCCCGACCAGGGCCTGGGCCTGGGAGGAGCCTGCAACCGAGGTCCGTGCCCTTAACCAGAATCGAACCCGGGACCCTTCGATCCACAGGCCAATGCTCTATCCGCTGAACCAAACTGCCTGGGGCTCCTTTTAAAAATATATTTTTTTATTGATTTCAGAGAGAGGAAGAGTGAGGGAGAGAGAGATGGGAACAGCCATGATGAGAGAGAATCCAGGCCTGTGCCCTGACCAGGAATCGAACCGTGACCTCCTGGTTCAAAGGACGATGCTCAACCACTGAGCCACCCGGCCGGACCCCTTTGTTCATGGGGTTTTTCTCTGCACTGACAGCCGCTACAAAAGGCTCCGTAACTGCTGCAAACATGCCTGCCCCTTGCGCTTAAGAAATGCGTTGCTCTTTTTAGAGAAATAAACACAAGCAAAAGCAGCAAGAGACTCTCTACACAGACAGAGTTGGGAAGTACCTGAAAAACTGCACGAAGGAGAAGCCGTAGCCATGCTGCTCGGCGATCCCCGCGCAGACGACGTTGGCCGACGCCCCAATCAGCGTCCCGTTGCCTGAAACCAGATGTAACGATAAGACCAGGCCCGCGTGGGCCGCGGTGGTAGCGTCTGTCCTCTTCCGCCCAGAATGCTGGGGACAGACAGTGATGCTGAGAAGCAGCAGGCGGCAGGACAGGGGGAGGGCCAAGCACAAGATGGACGGGCTCCGAGAGAGAAGCCACGGGCGTGGGTCCCGGGAGCTGAGTGGGCCGCTGAGGATGGGCCGCTGCGGCCGCCACTCACTCACAGGGGCGCCAGGCACGGGAGCCGAATCAAGGGCACGTAAGACACACCCCTGAGACACGAGCAAAGGCAGAGTCTGGGGCATTCGTGCTCTACAGACAAGTCATCGATATTCTAAACCGTGAGCGCTTCCTGCGGGGGACGGGGGTGGGGGGGACCTCCTTCCCACCAAGGGGCCGTTGGATATTGAGAGCCTCATTCAGGGCCACACAACACGATCGGCTTAAACATAAGCCTGCTGCCCGGCCAGCAAGGTTCAGTGGCTGTGCGTCGACCTAGGAACCCGGAGGTCAGGGTTCAATTCCTGGTCCAGGGCACAGGCCTGGGTTGCAGGCTCGACCCCCAGTCGGAGGCATGCAGGAGGCGGCCGATCCGTGACTCTCTCTCAGCATGGACGTTTCTCTCTCTCCCTTCCTTGCTTGAATCAATAAAATGAATATTTAGAAACCCCAAACGATCTCCACTTCTCAGGCCAGCGGCCATCCATCCTTTCATGCCCAGCGGCGTACGGAGGGGACGAGAAACCCGCACCGAGGAGGGCTTCTGAGAGAAACCTGTCTCTGGCAGGAGCCCTGTGAGCTCAGGGGCCGTGTGGGAGCCCCGTGGGCCAGACGCGGAGCAGGAAAACGCGAACTTGGGCCGAACGTCACGCTCATCCCCAGGAGGCCGCCCCGCGTCCCCCTGCTCCCCCTCCGTGGGGCACCGACGACGTCCCGCTCCCCGCAGGGCCTCACCTCCCAGGCAGGCGCCCAGGGCCAGCGCGTACATGAGGGGCGGCGCCGGCAGGCTGACCTCGGGGTCCTGACTCAGGTTCAGGAGCACGGGGATCTGCGGAGGGAGAGGTCCCCACGTCACGCCCCCGGCACCCAGGGCGGCCACCACCACCGACCACGGTGCCTGTCCGCCGCCGGGAGCAGGAAACCAAAGGGGAGTGTGAACCCCAACGGCCTTGAGTGGGAGCCCGTGGGTTCAGCCTTGGGACCGACGGGCCCCCTTCTCCTCGCTGCCCCCTGGTGGCTGCTGCTGGACGTTTTTTGTTGTTAGTTCTCTTAGGAGGAGCGTGTTTTCCCTGTTGATGTTGAGAAAGTGGGAGGGAGGAGGGAGGAGGGAGGAGGAGAGAGACAGACAGACAGACAGACAGAAACATCAATGTGGGAGAGACACACAGATTACCCAGGCCGGGGGCTGGCGACACTCTAACCACTGTGCAACACCAGCCAGGGCTTGATTTATTTATCATCTGTGAATCCTCACCTGAGGATGTTTTTCCATTGGTTTTCAGGGAGAGGGGAAGAGAGAGGGAGAGACAGAGAGAAACATCGATGTGAGAGAGAGACATCAATGGGTTGCCTCCTGAGCGTGCCCCGACCAGGGCCCGGGCCGGGGGGGAGCCTGCAACCCAGGCACGTGCCCTCGATTGGAACCAAACCCGGACGATGCTCTGTCCACTGAGCCAAATTGGCCAGGGCTGTTCGATTTTTTAAGAAATAAAATATTACAGATTCAGTAAGCCGCACTGTGGAAACGGGGCTGGGCCGCCCTGTGGGGGTCTCTCACACGTGCCCCCCATCTCGGCCGGGTCAGGGGCACACGGACAACCCCAAGGCCTGTCCGAGCCCAGCACCAGGGCCCGAGGCCAGACAACAGCTCCATGTTCCCAGGGAAGGAAGGAGAAAGGCCTTCACCCAGCCTCTGCCTTGGGCGCCTGCCAATTCCCTTCACAGCAAACGGCAGCCCTGGCCAGTGTGCTCAGTGGTTAGAGCACCAGCTCGCGCACCAAAGGTCGCAGGGGGTGGATTCCAGGTCGGGGTACTTACCTGGGTTGCAGGTTCGATTCCCGGCCCCAGTCCGGGGAGCGTGCAGGAGGCAACCCACCGAAGCGCCTCTCTCACACTGGTGTTTCTCCTCTCCCTCACCCTTCCTCCATTCCACTCTCTCTAAAAATCGGTGGGAAAAGCATCCTTGTGTGGGGATTAACAAAATAAACATAAACGGAAGCAAAAGGGAAAAGGCCGCTGTCCCTGGTGCTGACCCAGGATGCGCGGCCTCGGGCCCTCGGCTCCCAGCCGTCCGCCCGGCTCTGCCGCCTGTGAGCCAAGCCTGCGGGTGCAGCCAGGGCACGGACGGGTCGGGGTTCCATGCTGCCTTCCCTGGCAGGAAGGGGGAGCCCACGTTCTGTCCAGCTGCGCGCCGGGCCTCAGGACGGGGGCTCACCATGGTGGCTGTGAACGGGATGTTGTCGATCAGGGAGGACGCGATGGCCGAGACCCAGACCACCAGGACGATGGCGGCTGCGAGGCGTTGGTCCTCGGGGACCATCTGGGAGGAGAGACGAGAACGGGGCTGGGCATCGCGCTGCCCGTCAGCCACACGGGCTCGGGTCCCTCGCCCTCCTCCGGTTCCCAGGCTGCACACAGCACCGGCCCACGCCGCCCCGACCCTGGGGATGGAGCCTGCAGCCCGGGCGTGTGCCTTGACTGGGAATCGACCCGTGACCTCCTGGTTCACAGGCTGACCTCGGACCCCTGAGCCACGCCGACCGGCTCAGACAGGTTTCAACCAAAGGCTAATAGCAAAATGACAGGCATCAGTAATTACATACATTTTTAAAAAGCCGCCCTTCATCTCTAGGCTACCCAGGATGAAAGAGGCCCCCGACTGTACTCTTTTTTACATAATTAATGGGACCTATTCTTGCCAGACTTTTTTTTTTAATTTTACAAAACGAACGGATCCCTGGCTGGAGCCCCCGTCGTATTGCCGCACGGGCTGTACCTTGATCAGTGAAGTGGTCTGTTCGCCGACGTATTCGATCAGGTGCAGGTGCCCCAGCGCCTGGAAGAAATGGGCGTCAGTGAGAATCGGTTAAAACGGAGAACACATCCAGATTTTCAAAAGCCATGTCTCTAGCCCCAGCCGGGGTGGCTCTGTCGGTTGGGCACCGTCCCGTGCACCTAGAGGTCGGGGTTCAATTCCCGGTGGGGGCACAGGCCCGGGTTGCGGGCTCGATCCCCAGTGGGGGCGTGCAGGAGGCGGCCGACCCACGATTCTCTCTCATCATGGATGTTTCTCTCTCTCTCCCTGCCTCCCTGAAATCAATAAAAATATATTAAAAGAACACAGCCCAGCCCCCGAGCTCCTGCCCCAGAAAGACACAACCCCAAGCGAGGACAGAGAAGGGCCAGCCACGGGCAGGGGATGGGCAGGACCCCGGAACGCGGCTGCACAGACGGGGCTGGGGTGGCCGGGCTGCGGGGAGGCGGGTGACGGGGTGAGAGATGACGGGCCCTCCAGGCAGCGCCCAGCTGCCCCGTTTCCAGGGAGAGAAGGAGGCAGGACCAGCAAGAAGCCTCCTGCGGCCACTGAGCGGCCACGGCGGGTGCTGCCAGTCAGACCAACTTCCCTCTGCCGCCAGCAGAGGGCGCCCTTGGATAAGAATTGGTGCTTGTGGGGTTTTTGTTTTTTGTTTTGTTCGTCCTCACCGGCCGGTATTTTTCCTGAGGATATTTTTGGCATTACTTTATCTTTTACGTATTTGTTTTTAAATCCATTGTTGCTGAATGTGTTGCATATGTCTCCTTTTCCCTACTGACCTCTCCCGGCCACTCCCACCCCGCCCCAGAGTTTTTTTAAAATTTTTGTTGTTGTTGTTAATCCTTATCAGAGGGTATTTCCCTGTTGATTTTCAGGGAGAATGGACGAGAGAGGGAAAGATAGAAGCATCCACGTGAGAGAGACACATCGATGGGCTGGTTGCCTCCTGCACACGCCCCGACCAGGGGCCCAGGCCGGGGAGGAGCCTGCAACCGAGGTACGTGCCCTTGACTGCAATTGAACCCGGGACCCTCTATCCACTGAGCCGAACCGGCTGGGGTGCCACTGATTTTTAGAGCGAGTGGAAGGGAGGGTTCAGAGAGAGAGAGAGAGACATCTCACATCGATTGTCTCCCGCCCTCGCCTCGACTGGGGCTGGAACCTGCAACCCAGGTACCTGCCCTTGACCAGGAATCACACACCCTCGCACAGGGACGGACGCTCTAACCACTGAGCACACCAGCCAGGGCAGGACTTGTTTTTTGTGTTTTTTTGTTTTGTTTTAAAGGCAAACCCAATCGCATTAAATTCACCAGAGAAATCGGAAGTCATGTGTACAGAGCTAGCAAGAAAACCTCAAGCATCGAATTTCACATGTCAGCTGAGCAAAATTCCCGTCTCCAAGAAGCAGGAGAGAACTTCAAGTCCAGGCTTCAACCGGAATGAGACACGCTCCAGCAGGCGTTTGGAAACACAGCATCCCCCCGCCCCCCGTCCCGGTAAAATCAGAAAGAGGGCACAGAAGTGGACAGAATACAGGGGGAAATAGAGAGAGAGAGCAGATCGGCCTTATGAGCAAACCTTTTAAAAGTCCAGAGATTTCTCAGGAATGAGGGGAAAATGACAGGGGGCCCAAGGGACTGTAGATGTAAATGAACATGAAGTCAGGGGCACTGAAGAAAGGCATTGAAACAGCCAGGAGAGCCCTGGCCGGGTGGCTCAGCTGGTTGGGGCACCATCCCATGCACCCAAAGGTTGAGGGTTCGATTCCCGGTCAGGGCACCTGCCCGGGTTGTGGGCTCCATCCCCAGTGCGGGGCGTGCAGGAGGCAGCCGGTCCATGATTCTCTCTCCTCATGGATGTTTCTCTCTCTCTCTCCCTGTCCCTTCTTCTCTGAAGTCAACAAAGACGTATATTAAAACAAACAACTCGGTAAAAGGTCGTTCTGCAGAAGCCAGGAAGCCTCACCTCCATCAGCACGAAGAGCGCCGCGAAGAAGAGCAGCGTCGCCCACTCCACTCGGTGCAGAATGACCTCGAAGTCGTGGACGTCCGCCAGGATCAGCAGCCAGATGGCGCCCAGAATAGCGATCCACCCTGTGGGGCAAACAAGGGGCTTGTGGCCGGAGCTCGACTGCTCACTCGCTCGTTAACGTTTCACCGAGCGATCGCCTTTATCCTCATGGCGGACAACGCACCCTGCAAACTGAACGGGTTTTAAATGTACGGTTTGTAATTTGGGTCATTACATGCCCACAAAACCCACACCACAGTCAAGATGGTGAACACACGGCCCGGCCGGTGTGGCTCAGTGGTTGAGCTTTGACCTATGAACCGGGAGGTCACGGTTCCCGGGTTGTGGGCTCGATCCCCAGTGTGGAGGCAGCCGATCGATGATTCTCTCTCGTTATCAATGTGCCTATCTCTCCCTCTCCCTTCCTCCCTGGAATCAATAATGATGCATTAACATATGCTAATGAGGCTTTTTTCCCAATCAACCTGACTCCCTTCACTGTGAACAACAAAGATACAGGCTACATCTCGCAGGGCCCTCGGAGAGAATCCTCTGCATATGAACCAGACCTGCAAACAGATTTCTTTAAAATTAAAATTGGTGATGATGAGTTTATGTTTATTTTTTTCTATTAATCCTCCCCCAAGGATATTTCCCCAGTGGTTTTTAGAGCGGAAGGGAGGGGGAGAGATAGAAAGAAAGAAACATCGATGTGAGAGACTCATCGACTGGTTTCCTCCCCGACGTGCCCCGACCGAGGCCGGGGGTCCAGCCTGCAACCCAGGTGCAGGCCCCTGACCGGAATCGAACCCGAGACCCTGCAGCCCCGAGGGCCGATGCTCCACCCGCTGAGCCAAACCAGCCAGGGCGGAAACACAAGATTTAAAAGCAGAGAAGCAGCGAACGCCTCAGCCTCACAAAAGAAATGAGGTACCCTAAGAACAAAGTAGGTGGGATCTCAATACCAGACATCAAGATGTATTACAAAGCCACTGTTCTTAAAACTGCCTGGTACTGGCACAAGAATAGGCATATAGATCAATGGAATAGAATAGAGAGCCCAGAAATTGGCTCGAACCAATATGCTCAATTAATATTTGACAAAGGAGGCAAGAACATGCAATGGAGCCAAGATAGTCTCTTCAATGAATGGTGCTGGGAAAATTGGACAGATATATGCAAGAAAATGAAACTAGACCACCAACTTACACCATATACAAAAATAAACTCAAAATGGATA